TTTTTTTGATGTGATCGTCTTTATTTCATTGGATAGGGGGATACTTTTACTGATCTTGTTCTAATATGATGTGCCTTGGCTCCGTAAAGGTTAGGAAACCCTGGTGGAATTGATCTTCAAACAGAAAGATGGCTTCCCCGCAGGCTGGCAACACACCTCCTACAGAGCAACACACCCCTCTAGCGCAAGATGAGGATCGCCAACAAGGGGAGGCGGCGGAGAGTGACGTGCCCGTGAAAAAACGAGGCAGGGGCCGTCCCCCGAAATCCAAACTGTCCTTCAAGTGCTCGTCCTGCGGCGAGTCCTTCCGGAGCGTGCCGGCGCTGCGCGACCACAAGCTCTCGGTGCACGGCAAGGAGCCTCCGCAACATCCCCACGCATGTCCGCAGTGCCAAAAGATCTTCTCCAGCAAGGCCCATCTCTCCAAACACGAGAGCACGCACTTGGCCCAGCGGCCCTTTCAGTGTCCCGACTGCCACAAGGCGTACAAGACGCCCACCGAGCTGCGCAACCACAGTCGCTCGCACACGGGCGAGAAACCGTTTGTGTGCACCGAGTGCGGCAAGGCCTTCATGCAGGCCATCTGCCTGCGGATCCACATGACGCAGCACAACGGCGAGCGGCCCTACTCCTGCCGCCAGTGCTCCAAAAGCTACCCCACCTTGTCCAAACTCAAGGTGCACATGCGCTCTCACACCGGCGAGAAGCCGTACTTTTGCGGCGAGTGCGGCAAGAGTTTCGCCGACCCCTCCGTGTTCCGTAAGCACCGACGCAACCACCAGGGCCACCGGCCGTATGCCTGCAACGAGTGCGGCAAAACCTACACGGAGCTGAAGGACCTGAAGAACCACGAGCGCTCCCACACCGGAGAGAAGCCCTTCCTGTGCTCCGACTGCGGCAAGGCCTTCTCCCGCTCGTCCTCGTTGGTATGCCACCAACGCATCCACTCCCAGAAGAAGCCCTATCAGTGCGAGCAGTGCGGAAAAGGCTTCACGCAGCTGTCCTCCTACCAGTCTCATCTGCGCACGCACTCCGGCGAGAAGCCCTTCCTGTGCCCACAGTGCG